TACTACTACTACTACTACTACTACTACTACTACTACTACTACTACTACTACTACTACTACTACTACTACTACTACTACTACAGTATATTTCTCACATATTCAAATAATCCTATGCCAGCAAAGACAGCTAACAGTAAACGTGCACGATTTATTTCGATATTTTTTTTAACTCATGTTGACATGGTTAATTTATTTAATTGGAAGCTTCCCTAACTCCTAAACTTGGTAAGCTAAATTCTAATGAGGTAATTGAGAGAACGGGCAATCAATAGTTATTTTACTGTTTGAGCAGATTTTTATTGTTACATTTGTTTATCACGTAATATTTAGACAGACTGGGATATTTACTCTCTTTCTCGAGACTTGACGGTTTTACATCGTTTATTATTATGATAAACAACATTCCCGTGTTGTCATCATCATTTACGTGTTATTTTTATAAGCTTGTCAATACCACTTACCATCTGAACGTCTGCTCGGCAAGTTTCTTGTAACCCTCTTGTGTAGAATCCGGCATTGATGGTCGTAGTCCGCCCATAATATCGCGTGTCAAATCTCCATCGAACTGCCTATCTTTAAAAGGTTGTAACAATCAAATGCATAATGATTCCAAAAGAATACACATCTGATTTCCGAGTAAATTTGCGAGTACAAAAGACTTCCGGTGCAATAAATAGTAAAACGCCTCGCGTGTTTGAATTTCGTCGATGTGAATTCACTGATCGTGAAAAACCCAAATCGCATATGACTGACATCATCCTATGTACATCATCACAACGTGAAGCTATTCCGCCATATATATTACAATGCACAAATCCTGCCTTGTCAATCGTTATCAGATACAATGCCTTAAACCTTAAACAACCTAGTTCCATAGAGCATTGTCCATAACAATCATGTACTCTTGTGTTGTTGGGTCTTGTGTGACTCTATGAATCCGAATTGAAAAACGACCTGTCTACGTACACTTGACATGATTTCATAACCATTAAATGAAAACAAATACAGAGTAAAATTAAAATATAATTTTTATTATTAATACCCTAAATCGTTTGAGTGCAATAAATTCTTGCATAAACCTTGTTTCTCGAGACTTTTTATAACTAACAATACAAACTGTTCTATAATTATCAGATCCAATTTCTTTGAAATTTGAAAAGTCGCTATACGGTATGTACTTTAAAGGTTCATTATTTCGTATAAACCTGATCAAAATTGTATCCATGTCATAATAGAACACTGAATCGTACTCCCGAGTAGATGGCTCCCAAGTGATTCCAATTATCCAAATATTATCAGGCGTTATTATCTCCGGATATTCTTTGGTTAACAGTTTGAGTAAACAAATACAGTCGTTTAAGACATAAACGCGCGATACACACTTACCGATGCATTGTTTACACCTGAATAATTTACTGATAAAAATCAAATAACTGATCGTTTTGTTCACCAACTAGCTTTTGGGTGTCACGCATGTCAATTCATTGCCCGTAGTCCAATCAGGAGGTACAGGCGCTTTACATTCATATCAAAATCCATTTATTTTAGGCTCTAATCGCCGTGTGCACGCCAGGCATACTCCATGTCCAGTATACTCTTTCATCAGATAATACCTTTGTTCGATTGCATCATATGTAAATCTGTGGCAAGAATATCATCACATAGTTAGTGGAAAAAATACGACAATCATTTCAATAAACATAACGTATAAGTAAATCGTTTGCCTCGGCATAATATAAATCGTGTGTCTCGTTCGTTATCTCAAGTGGAATAAATTTAAACCATGCATTAGTAGGTAGATCATATAAGTATACATTACGATTATAAACACAATGGAATCCATTCCAATAGGCGTCATTTGGTGAGTCTGTTTGTAATTGAGATGATGCCTTAATAAACTCATCGAGTTGTTTGCTGTTGCTAGTCCATCCATCGGCTAATTGTTTACGCACCACACAGGACTACATCGGAGTATTCCGCATGCCCATATCGAGAGAGTAAAAATCGTAAAGTGTCTGTCTACTAGCAACCATATAATAGCTATAGTCATACTTGGTAAACCCCTTTATGAGTAGACGTTGTCAATTTTGAGTTGGCTTTTTGTTGGTGGTTCTCGCAAGAAATCCATTCAAGTCTTGATAATTTATCCTTTCCTTCTAAATATGATTGAATCAAGTTGTCAATCGCTACAGTCCCTGATGCTAACGACATCGTTTGAATAAGTCTTCAAATACAATAGCGGGTAGAATGTCTACACCACGCGTGACCAGATCGCATCTAGTCCAAAACGCCAAGGCAAAGTGAATAGTATAGTTTGTTTTTGTTATTTTATGATGATTTGTTTAATTTTTGCGTTGTAGAGCCACTAATACGGAACCATCTATTGTGTGAGGTAACTCGGATCACCTTGTGCTTTGACTGTTAGCCAGAATAAGCGCTAACGCTGGTTCAGAACATCAATACAGGCACGTTGCGTGTGCCATGGAGATGTAAAAACAAAAAGTTAGTTTCGCGATGGAAAATCAAAATGACAATTGGTCGATTATGCAAATTACAAAGTCCCAGTAGAAACGTCAAGCACATCACCCAATTACTTATATACTTAACGCGGGTTCTAGTGAAAATAAATAAAACTGATTGACAAACATGTTTAATGACGTGAAGTAAAGCCGATTAGTTGTAGCTTGACACTGCTATTCACACGTACGTACACACAACATGTAAGCACGACTGGTGCATATCTTCAAACGAGCTATAAATACACACAATGCAGTGTAACTCGTTGAAATGATTCCCACCAATTTACTTTATCGTGACCTTTAAATAGTTGATACAAAGGAGGCTGTTGTAACATATGATCTGGTGTAACCTTGTAAAAATAAACGAATATTTACGAGATATGAATAACCTGCAGATTTAGATGTTGTACTAATAATCTCTGTATTTATTATGCCCCCCAACTATTTTCTTTTCACAGGGTAAACAAGCGTAGTACGTGACGATCAACTTTCCCAGACTTTGCATTGTGCAACGTAACGAAAATAATTTACCAGTATTAGCATGTGGGGAATTGTTCTTTAAACGTACTCACGATTCTAAAATATCGCACGATTTTCTATTTACGGCATCTGTCAATCATTTGATGTGGGGGTTCTGGTTTAACTTGTTCTCGGCAAGTACGAAACTGTAAACAAGATTTGGCTTTCAAAACTTTGATTCTTCAAGAGGCTAAATTTTTAACGTTTAACGTGAAAACTGCATGGAAAGAACGAAAATTCGCTCGCATGCCGAGTAATCGCGATGATCAGTGACAGAAACACTCATCCCTCCCACATCGTACAGCACGTCCAATATCACATCTTCATTTACATTGATTTGATGCTGAAATTTTATAATTCTATATTAACTTGTAAAATTGATTAACAAAAAATGTAGTAAATTGTGTAAAACGAAATTTCACCCAAAATAATCCTACAATAAAAAAGAAATTCTTCCGCTAAATTACAAATACATAGTCCAAAGTCGGATATTGTTGTAGGCGAAGAAAATGACCATCTCCTGTTTTACAATCCCCCCCCCCCCCCCCAAAAAAAGATCTAGACAGAAAACCGTTATTTCACATTATTGTCGCTAAAGCTATGAGGGAAGGTAATTATCCTCCTCTACAGTTTTCCTTGCAGAAACAATTCTATACAGTTGTTAATGTACTCTTTCTTCGAATTCATATCAAATCCAAACCGCATAGAAAGCTCATCGCGTACTTGTTTTTTGGTTACATTCATGAGATTTGCTGCTGAGAGGATACTTCTTATCTCCTGAAGGATCTCTTCATCGCTTGGTTCAGCCGGAACAATATCTTTAGCATAGTGACCACCTTCTGCCATGCTTACAGGTCTAGAATTGCCACCATAATATTCGTACTCTCCTGCTCGACTCGACAAGTATTGCGAGCCCCGTTGTGACATGTAATCGCCCGGATGCTGAGATGCAACATTTGATAATGCACGTGAAGTGCGACGGTCGTCTCCTGTATAACGCGGAACTGGCGATCGAGACCTACCACGCTGACCATATTCTTCATGAAAGTCTCCATATGTAGATCCGAATTTCGAACCAGCGACGGAACCAGCTTTTCTCGAGGAATGACTTCGATACGATTTATCTGACACTCTTGTCTGAACTGATTCTTCCGAACCGACTTCCCACAGTTCCTGTTCATAGTCTGACCACTTCTTTTTCGGTATACTTTTCGGATCAAACTTGCCCTCGTCTGACACTAATTTCTTCTTACCTCTCTCACCAACTACCATACGAGTGTTACCCCATGAAAAGTCGTCAAAGTGCCAAAAGGCGTATAATGGTAGATAGAAAGAAAACACTGGAATAGCCAGAATATATACAATCATCCATCCAACATGTTCCCATTTGCGTCTCAAGATGAATATAATAGCTTGCAAACCGTACGCTGCACCTAGCAATGCAAGTGAGGTAATCGGAATGGTTGTCGGATCAACAATAATGCAGTATATTAGATAGCCGAGATAAGCCACCGTGGCAGGCATAACAATGGTACCAAACAAGTCAAGCAAGACCACGAAGCGCATAGAGAAACAGCAAAAACCACAGAGTTGAGGCAAAAAGACCAACTCCATAAGATTGTGCACAGTGGAATTAATCCATCGACGACGCTGGGATATCAGCACGGTCCATGTATCAGGGGCACTCGTCTTACACTGAGCATCGGGCACAAAAGTCATCTTGTTATGGGGGAAATGCTTCATCATCAGAGTGGTCAGGTAACGATCTTCACCAAGATGAAGTAAATTCTTTTTGTGAAGAGTATCAACACGATTCTCGGCATAATCTTCCATAACTGCAGTGCTGATCAACAATGGCTTGTGCGTGTCCGGCGTGCGTACGCGATACATACAGAAACATCCTGGTAAACAAGTTACTGATCCAAAGAGAGATTCAAACGCCTTTGCCAAGTGATGAGAAATATAATATTCATACACTTGAATCATAGTAACCCAGGTGTCCTTCTCATTGGCCAAGGTCGTCTCACCGCACAATCCCATGACTCGTGTATCGTGCATGAAAGCAGAGACGAGACGATTCAACGAGTCGGGTAAGACTTCAGTATCAGCGTCCACCATTAAAATATAT